ACACCTCTCCTTTTTCTATCCATAGTAACAGGACTATGGACCTGAGCCTGCGAGATGCTCTGGGTGGAGGTGGGGTCCCAGGTGGGGCCCCTGCTGAGGCCCTAATGAAGAGGGACTTTGTGGCTTCACTGGAGAAAGAGAGCTATGATGACAAGGTGGGGGAGACGGTCTCCAAGAGCGACTACCGACCCTTACTGGATGGAAAGGACACCAAGAGTGGTGAGTCGCTGTGAGCGTTTGAGCAAAGATGTGAAGAGGAAGTGATGCTTTTCATGGATGTGATGTTGATCCCTCTAGGGACGTCCTCTTTTCAGGAGGGAGTGAGAGTTGAGTTGGCTTGTGGGCATTTACAAGAGTCACTGGTTTTGAATTGAAGTCGTCTGGGTAAAATAAAACTGTATTGCACTGTTTGTGTCCTAAGCTCTCTTAAAGGATAAAACCATGTCTTATGAATTCAAAAATATAACTAATGTAATACACCTTAGTTATATTTTTTTATGATTCAAATTGAAGCAGCAGAGACCAATACATCCTGATCCTTTCGTCTATAGAAAGGTTCAACTTTCAAAACCCCATTACAGCACAATAACAACATCTTTTCATTAAAAAGCTTGCTGTATAAAATATATTGTGGTCTCCAAGGCTCAGCTGGGATAACCCTGATAACATCACTACAAACTCATATTGGTTATTTCTCAGACTCAAGAAAGTTTATCAGCCATTCAAAGTTTATGAAACTGTTTTGATATCCATATAGAGTGGTGCAGGGATGACGTATTTACCCGGAAGTAAGCTGCGCATGGGTTTCCCTCGACAAAAAAGCAATGGGATTCCTCCATAGGATTTTGACAAAAAAAAAATGGGATTCCTCCCAATAAAGCATTTTTGGAAAAAAAAAAGGCTTGAAATAAGGTTCGTGGAAAAACGAACCTGTTTGAATAAATGCACGTTTTATTCAACCGGAATAATCTCCACATGTCTACCCTGCTTTTATAATGTTCGAATCCTAAATCTAATCGCCAGAAGCAAAATGCTAACGTTATGCTATAAACGAACTACAGCAGGGTCGCTGCTTCAACGTCACGCCAACTTAAGATCGATATTCAAAAATACAGATTCAAAATTGTACAAGTTGAAAATTTTGTTTTAACAGGAGGCAGGTCCTGTTTTTAACAGGAGGCAGGTAGGAGGCAGGTACTTGCTTTCAAGCAGAACAGGGGCAAACAAACTTAGCGGGAGTGTTTACGTGTTTGGCGTAATGACGTACAACGTCCTCGACAACTTCTGTAGTCCTATTCAGCCACTTGTTAACAACCATCGTTTTTCAGACACATAAACTCTTCAAAACTCACCAGTGGGGTCACTGCTTATGTATTTAATGTCGTAGAACAAAACGTGATCTGTCTCTTAAATTTGTGTCAACCACAGACCTTATTTCCAGCTATTTTCCAAAATCTTATGGAGAAATCCCATTGACTCTGAGACGTGGTAAAATGCTAACTCACTTCCCGGTTTTAGGACTCGTCACTGCACCACTCTATTGCTCGAGATGAGTCAACAGACTTCTCTTGAGGCTCTTTTTTGAAGGAATAAAGTAGTAATTTGATAGGTTTTTTACATTCTGTCTTGTTTTCTGTCGGCAGCATTAGGGAAATATGTGTTTGTCAGAAGTGTAAAATGTAAAGAGTCATCTTACCAGTTTGACAGGAATGTTATCATTGGCTCAGGGAGAATTTGGCAACATCTGATTGGTTTAGCTTGAAAGAGTAAACACCCATCAGTTGATTAGATAAAAACAAGAGACATATAATGAGTCTATATTACTGAACTTTTACTAAGCTTCATTAGTTGCTTGTAAAAGTGCCTGACATGTAGCTTTATAAAATAAGCTCTGCATAAACATTCTGACTTTTACAGATGAAGTGAAGAAAAGATGGATGACTGGTAGAAATAAAGTGTAGAGCTGGGAGATTAGGAAAGAAGCAAGAGACTACTGGAGGATTTGAGGAAAGGAGAGCAGTCCAGAGCCGGGGAGTTAAATAGAGCAGACACAAAAGCCCTGTAGAGACACAGAGACATGGATTAATATATAGAGGGGGCTTTGTTCAAACCTCAAGGGAGGGGGGTCATTTGTGCCACTAGTTTTTATTTTCTATTGAGAGAATGATGAAATGTAGTTGCTTTCTTTCCTCTGTGGGCTGGTACCCTTGAGTAAAGTCCTCTTTGAATCGTTTATTCATTAAATGGTCAACTTTATCAAATATTAAAACACGAAAGCAAGCTGGAGATGATAATAAATTAGTGTTTTTTGTCACATCTGAAAACGTATCTCTCTCTTAATAGTTGTAATAAGTGACTAGCAAACCTTTTTATCTTTGTGAGCTAACGTTAGCTCAGAAAAGCTATCAAACATATGGTCAGCATTGGGATACTTCACTTTAGTAACCCCCTTCAATCATAGAGCCGTTGGTTGTAAGGAAATGAGCAAAATATGAGCATAACCTGGCAAAACTAATCGAATTATCTTGTTTTCATCCTTTTGGATGCCAAAATTGTACATGAAATTAAAATTCCATTTATTTCCCAGCCCTGCTTGACCAAAGGACAGTTGTTATTGTTAACAATTGTACTAATGCAGTGATCATTTATTGATTCTGAGTTTAACATGCGCTGCAATACAATGGCTTTCTCCTCAGATGTTATACCGTAGAAACAAGATTCGTTACTGTAATAATTAATGTTGTTTTCAACAACGTAGGGTACTGCATATTAAAACATGTAAAATTAGTAGATCATGTGATTTTAATACTTATCAATAGCAGTCCGATGATAATAATGGACTTTTTTTTGTTCTGTTAGTATCACTGCACAAAATACAGACACTACAAGCTCCTTAGACTACTCTATGTATCAGGGCCATCAGGGATCCTGTGTGTGTGTGTGTGTGTGTGTGTGTGTGTGTGTGTGTGTGTGTGTGTGTGTGTGTGTGTGTGTGTGTGTGTGTGTGTGTGTGTGTGTGTGTGTGTGTGTGTGTGTGTGTGTGTGTGTGTGTGTGTGTGTGTGTGTGTGTGTGTGTGTGTCAAAGATAAAGTGTAATTGCCTTGTCACTTCGGCTAACCCTGTCTAGACTTAAATTAACTGAGTGTCTCACTACGTCGCTATTTCTCAAGCTCTCTTTATTTCTCCTGTGTTTTTCTTGTTTTGTTCAGGCCTTATCTTGACTCATTATACCTTTATTGTTTTCTCTTATTGCTTAGTGCTTAATTTTTCCTCTGGTCTCACTTCTATTCGCTGATGTGTTCTTTCTATCTCTCTGTCATTGTTGTGCTGTGTCAGCCTGGAGACAGTGCTGTACAGTATACTGTAAGCATCATTACCATCAACACACACAATCAGCTCCCTGCCAGTGGCACAGTGTGGTACAATGAGTTGAATGTGAGACTGTATATAGGTGTCCGTTTTTAAATAACAACAAGCTTAAGTGAACAACATTTTGATAGCACCTGTAGATAGATAAGCTATGTTAATATGTGTGGGATTCACTGGGAAGATACCCTGACTTTAAGTCCTTTTTATCGGTCAAGATCCAAAAACACTAGACCAATTTTATACACAATATACAAAACTCCATCAAAAGACATTACATGACATTTGATAAAGGGTGAGTAATACTCCTAAAGATGAGGACACTTAACTTATGATTAAAACTCTGAAGAAGCAGTTGTAAATTCAATTATTATAACTTTCCAGTATTTTGAAACATTAATGTGACATTTAAAGATGTCAAGTTGCTTATCAGAATTTCATGTATACGTTACCAATTCCAGATTCATCATGGTAATAAATTGGCAGGGCTGGCTGCTGATTAGTTTGATATATTGCTGCTAAATGGAGGTGGCACATCGGCCAGAAGTGCATGCATTATTTCTGAATCCTTTATGATAAACCACCAGCCTGTCGTATCCTCTCTCACATGCAATGTGTGACATACCCATGCCCAGCTGGTATGATGATGATCAGCATAAGCAGAAACACATCCTCTGGCTGTTTGTGCGTTTGTGTGACTATATAAAATACTGGTAACTATATTGGTCTTTAGGCTACATTTTGTAAGTGCCATATGGGTGTTAGAGACACTGTGTGTGAGCAACAGATGTTTTACCACCGGGCTTCACAAATATTTTCATATCATAGGCCGTCAATCAGATTCCTAATGCACCACAGACCCTCATGTGATAGGATATTAACCTTGATGTGGGACCCCTCAAGGATAAATTCTAGGCCCACTGGGTTTCTCTTTATATATTGTCTCTGATGTCCTTGATCTTTTCAACTTTCTACTGATTGATAACCTTTGACTCTTTCTATTGGATGCTACAAAAGATTCAACAGAGTACCTCTGTGGTGCTCTTGTTGGTCCTTGTTAATTTAGCCATGTCTGTCCTTGTCATAATGTCTTAAAGTAATGTCACTTGAGTCAGCGTTGGTTAGTGCTGAAGACTACAGCTTGGAGAGATGAAAAAAGACTGGAGGTGTGTAGCTTGGTCCTCATCCCTGTCTCAGGCTAGAGGCTTAAGGCAACCATATTCATTAATAGCTTAATTCACCTGAATATCCAACCAGAGTGTCTGGAGTCATCGTGATATCATTGTGATGACTACCGTAATTTTCGGACTATAAGCCGCGCCTTTTTCCCTATTTTTCGACGCTGCGGCTTATATAACGGTGCGGCTAATCTATGGATTTTTACAGCTAACGGCCAACACCTTTAACTCTATGGGCTCTATGGCCGGTCCGCGGACCCCCACCTTTAAGCGGCGGGTTCCAGCAGGAAAAACTGGAGGCCGGAAAAGAGTGAGACAGGTAGCGCGCAAAAGTAAAAGTGGAACCGAGAGTGGTATGCCGCTGCTGCGGCTTATATTCAGGTGCGCCTTATAGTCCGAAAACTACGGTAATCATTGGGTGGGTGTGTTTGTGTGTTAAGAGTTAAGAGGCTGACCTTTTTGAATGTGTGTTTCAGCACTGCCTCATGACCGTGTGCAGCAGTACCCTCAGTGAGCTGGGCCTGCAGTTGATGATAGACCTTCTTGCTCTGAGGGACTCGTCCTATTGGCTCGTTCGCACTGAGCTCTTGGAGACTCTGGCAGAGATGGACTTCCGGTAGGATCATTTTAAACTTTTGTTTTGTTACCCGAGCTACTGGCTGAGGCATCGTGCTATTTCAATTTTGAATAAAAATGTATAATAACTAAGCTTTTTTATTTTTTTTTATTATTTATAAACTGTTAGGGGTGTTGCAATAGGCTATCTTTGATAATGTAATATTTTTCTTTTTTCACGCTTTTGTTCAGTAATGGTTACAGATCTTCTATTATCTATCAATTTTCTTTACAAAACGCACAATAAACAATGTTTTAAGATGAATTTCAATTGTTCCCTTATTTCTTTGTTTACACATTTTATATAAATACCTCAATAATATTGTTATGGTAAGTCTTTGATCTCTGGGATTATTACTAAAGATATGCACTCTTTTCTCTTTTAGGTTAGTGAATTTCTTGGAGAGAAGAACAGAACATTTGCACAAAGGGGACCATCACTACACTGGGGTAAGTCTCCATTCTATCTTCCTGGTAGTCTTGCTGTAGAGAAGTAAGTATTTTTATGTTTTTAGATGCCAAAATGTTAAACTTGAGTTAATTCTGTTAACCACACAAAACAACACTGAAACTTGGAACATGTGGTCCCTAATATGTCCGATTCCTCTCTATCTAGCGGCTGCGCCTGCAGGACAGAGTCCTGAACGATTTGGTCATCCGTCTGTTGGGAGATGACGACCCCAGAGTCCGACACGTGGCAGCGTCAGCTGTCAGCAGGTAAACTCTCATCATATACTGTATTTACTAAATACACATCAGGTATACTGGACTTTACTGTAGAAAAGCAAGTTTCTTTCACACAAGAAAAAATCAGTTACAATTTATTAAACTCTAACCCAGAGTTGGTACTTTTTGACTTTATCTACTTTTTTAGAAATTAATTGGGATTTAGCTACCAGATGATAAAGGATACATCATTGATTCTCATACCTAGAATCGATGAAAAATCTAACCAGAGGGTCATTAGTAATGATCTGTCTTCTATACCTCATCCATTTTTCCCTTCTATCTTCAAAGATATGATCTTCTTTTCTAATTGTTCCATTGCATATCATTATTTACAAGATCCTTTTATTAAGAGTTCATTAGAAAATCTTCTTTTAACCAGTTCCTTGTAAAAACACCAGAAGCAAGATTCTTACTTATTGCTAGCAATAAGAGTAGCAACAATATAACACATTACAAGTAGTAAGATAAGTGGGTTTTTGTTTGGATGACCAAAACACATGACTTTGTTTTGCTTTCTGCTTCACTCTTTAGCACTTTGAAGTACAATTTTCTTTGTACTTACTTTGAATTTGGGGTGTCTTCTTTCTAATGTTCCCTTCTCTCTGTCTCTCTCTCTCTCAACAGGCTGGTTTCCAGATTGTTCTACGACTGCGACCAGGGTCAAGTGGACCCAGTAGTGGCGATTGCCCGGGACCAGAGTTCAGTCTACCTGCAGCTGCTGATGCACGAGGCCCAACCCCCCTCCCAGTTCACAGTTAGTACCATCACAAGGTACGGAAACACACTCCTTTGATGTCGCATCTCATAGGCTAAAGCCTCATTGGTCAATCATCTGTGATTCCTTTCTCTGCCAGGACGTACAGAGGCTACAACTTGTCCAACAACGTGTCTGATGTCACAATCGAGAACAATTTGTCCAGAGTCGTCACCGCCATCTCCCACGCTTTCACCTCCTCTACCTCCAAAGCCCTGACTGTGAGCTTTCACACCTTTTTAGTTTGCTCCCTGGACAGAACATCTCTCTTGTATTTTGTATATGAACATGTTTGAAAACGATTCCTTTTATCTTGTTTCTCTACAGTTTGGCTGCTGTGAGGCCTTATGCCTCCTGGCTACACATTTCCCAGTGTGCACCTGGAGTACAGGCTGGCACTGCGGCTATGTGAGCTCCAGCAGCAGCTTCTCTTCCCGCTCTAGTCTGAACCGCAGCAGGGGCCGGGCCCTCAGGTACGTGCACTCCTTCTCTTGTTACTTCATCCTCCTCCTTCTTCCTTTCCCTTCCTCTCTTCTCAATAGTAACTGATCCTCTCCTGTCTCTCGGCTCTGCAGTGTGTCGCAGACCGGCAGTGCTCCAGCCTCTTCAGCCTCCTCCTCGTCTGCACCTGACACTGAGCGCAGGACTCTGACAGTAGGCATGGCCAACATGGTGCTCTCCTTACTCTCCTCCGCCTGGTTTCCACTTGATCTGGCCTCACACCAAGATGCACTTTTGCTGTCTGGCAATCTGCTTGCTGGTGGGTCATATTCATAGAAATTCTAGATTCATATATTATTTTGGAAGAGGAATCCCTCCTTTGTTGCTCTCCAAGAAGTTTATTCCTCGTGTGCTGCGAGGGTCCAAGGAAAGAAGGTGACCTGTACTCTTCACATGATAAAGCCCCCTAAGACAATAAGTCAGTTGTGATTTTAGTTGGGATAAGACGTTTTTTTGCTTATTTAAAGAGCAAATATACATTAACAAAAGAGAAAAAAAACTAATTGGTTCCCTTTTTTAGAAAAAAACGAAATCGTTTAAAATGTACAAACGTGTCAGTCTCAACTCAAAACGTAACCTATTTAGTGCATTAAAGTGCCCTTTTTACATTCTGGGCTGTAAAGATAACATCTTCTGAAATGTAAATAAATAATGGTGGTGCGGTGAAAATATTTTCAGTACTCATGTTGCTCGAGTTCCTCAAAGAACTTTCACCCATCATTTTAAAACATGATATTTCATTTAGCTGAAGCTTTAGCCAAAGTGACTTGCAAAAACTGCAAAAATCATGACAATAGAAATGGCTAGAAACCTGCCGGTACATTTACTTCAAGTAAGCCAAACCATCGAAGAGCTGGTGCCTTAAATTGAAATGAGCTAAATCTTTAAAGTACTGTAATTTAGTTGTTTTTTTTGGTGACCTCACTCGCCTTAAAAATACCCCCAGATTTAGAGACAGAAGCTGTAAAAAGTCTGTTATTCATGTTCCCAGCTGTGGCTCCTAAATGCATGCGCAACCCCTGGGCTGGAGAGGAGGAAGGCAGCAGTGGTAGCACCAACACAAGTGGAGGCCCCAACAAGATGGAGGAGCCCTGGGCAGGGCTGTCGGAGCGCTCCCTGGTGGCCATGGTGGAGCAGCTCTTCTCCCACATACTGAAGATCCTCAACATCTGCGCCCACGTGCTGGACGACACCCCCCCCGGACCAGCTATTAAAGTAACCACTTGCAATACTTCTGTTGTTTGATTTGATCAGTCATATCTGCAGATCACATAGTTGCATCCACTGGAAGGCTGATTGTTATATTATTTAATTATGATTTAATCTATTCCCCCTTTTTTCAGGCCACCCTCCCCTCCTTGAGCAACACCCCCTCCCTCAGTCCCATCAGGAGGAAAGGCAAGGAGAAGGATATTGTGGAGCCCAGTGCTGCCCCCATGAGCCCAAAGAAAAGTGTTGACATCAACACAGGTACATATGCAGTGTATTTATATGTCTATATACCCAGGCAGAGGTGGAAGAAGTACTTAAGTAGAAGTACCAGAGTGTATAAATACTCTGTTACAAGTAAAGGTCCTGTATTCACATGTTTACTCGAGTGACCGTACTAATTCACTCGAGTAAAAATGTAGCTTTAAAATGTACTAAAAGTACTAAAAGTATTCATAATGCAGATTGGCCCATTTTGGAATGATATATATATATATATAATATATAATATATATATATATATCACATGTTTATTATAATTATTAATGCATGAATGTTTTTATTATAGTTGGTAAAGTACATTTTATTATTTTATTTACTGATGGGTAGTTTGTGAATTTAGTTGAGGTGTTACTAAAGTCTTATGTAAGTGTTTATGTTTTATATCATTAATCAATATCTGCAAAGTAACTAAAGGTATTAAATACATGTAGTGGAGTTAAAGTGCAATGTTTACCTCTAAATTGTAGAAGTAAAAAGTAGCACAAAATCGGGATACTCATGTAAAGTACAAGTACCTCAAAATTGTGCTTGAGTACAGTACTAGAGTAAATGTACTTGGTTACTTTACACCACTGTACACAGGCAATGGAACATGCTCAGTGACCATGCAGCAGCACAGACAGACTATAGGGCGGCTCAATTAAAACAAATAAACAAGTGGCTTTTATATGGACTGATATTGTAATTCAAATATGATAAACGGTTATAGAGGAAATGAAACATACATTTTCTCTTTTTGAGGATCTGTACCAAACCGTTTGTAGGTCTTTCAGAATGATATTTTTACATACTTAGCCTTTACTGAATATCTCGCTTACTTTGATTTGTACATTGCATAGTCCATTTTGTGATTTCGGTAACATCTTCGATCAATGGTGCAGTCCTAAAAGAAAGTCTTACTTATGTTTCTGAATATTTAAAATGTTTGTCTTGTGAGCAGGCAGGCCAGCAGACGGCACAGGGTCCACCGCCGTAAACAAGTCTACCACCGTCGGCAACTTCTACCACCTGCCCACCTACCTCAAGCTCTACGACGTCCTCAAAGCTACACATGCCAACTACAAGGTCAGAAGGAGCATCCAGCTTCAAATAGTCTATCAGTAATCATATTAGTGTAGCCTCATCTTTATCTGCCACTGTGCAGATGTACCGTAAAACAAAATAAATAATGGTCAGCAGTTTAATCTATAAATGAAGTTTCAAACTAATTTGTACAGTTTTTCCTCGTTTCTTTTGTTAATTGTGTTTTTCTTCTCGCCTAGGTGACGCTGGACCTCCACAGTAGTCAGGAGAAGTTTGGAGGATTTCTGCGTTCAGCTCTAGATGTTCTCTCTCAGCTCCTGGAGCTCACCACACTACATGACATCAGCAAGGTAAAGATATTTAAACAGCTCTGTTTGAAATCAGACATTGTTAGAGTTCATTAGAAGAAGCAAGAAGGAGAAAATAAATAACATGCATCTGTTTCTTCCTATAAGCCAATGTACCATCACAGTTGTTCACATGGACATAATCCATTAAATAAAATGGTGTGTTGGTTCTTCGTCAGTGTGTGGAGGAAATCTTGAGCTACCTCAAGTCCTGCTTCTCCAGAGAACCCACCATGGCGACAGTTTGTGTACAACAGGTCAGTAATATGTGTTTTATGTCTGATGATAGATTTACTTGTGTGTTGTGTACAGTTTTTTGTTTCGTGTGTGGCAGTCTTTATGGTTCCAACACTGAGCAGTGTGCTGCGACCGCTGCGACCCCACACAGAGTGAAGTGGTACTTTACGACAGGGCCCGTAAAGGAGCTGGTTTCCCTGAGCGATGGTTCCATACATCTTTCACACACACACACACACACACACACACACACACACACACACACACACACACACACACACACACACACACACACACACACACACACACACACACGTGTGTGTGTGTGTGTGTGTGTGTGTGTGTGTGTGTGTGTGTGAAAGATGNGAAAGGAAAACTTGAAGGCCTTGTTTCTCAAACTGATGACTCCGGTGACAGTCATTATATAATGGTGACATATTTCGCTAATTATTTGGAGTGTACACAATCCTGATATTCTTAGAATCTAGGAATATCGTTCTGTCCAGCAGTGGTATACAAACTCAAAATGTTCTTCGGGTCCAATGCGACTGATTCGATAGAGCAGGTCACATATAGATCTGATAAAAACTGAATTCTTATATAGATGAGTCATGATCATCTTCATGAGACAGTAACTTTATTGTCTGTTCACAAAGCGAACGCAACAATTGGCATATTTAAGAAATGCTTTACAAATATACACGTAGAATAATAAACAAATATCACATTGTTCTCAAATCCGTGTTTGTCCCGCCTAGTATACAAATAGTGCGCGCGCAAGCGCGGCTGCTGAAATATGCACGCACTGGCTAGGGGGCGCCAGGGCCGGTACCCAAAAAAAAACTTTTTCATTTTTGTTGGATTGTGTTGTTACGTGGATTTGTGTATTTGTGTTACTGTATTTCATAAAGGTGTATTTTTGCTAAATCTTGAGACATTGCCACTGTAAGGTACTAGGCAGGGCCGATTTTGGATAGGCGACATAGGCCAGTCGCAAAGGAGGGGCCCAGATAAGGGGGGCGCTGCGGCTGATAGTCTGGGAGGGGGAGAAAACAAAAAAAAAGAAAAAAAAACATTTTTGACCGTTGGGGCCACTCATCCTAATTTCGGCTTTGATGTAACACAATTCCATATTAAGTAAAAGGTGTCAAACACCCTCTGTAACAGCACTTGACTTTAAATGTTAAAAGTGTGCTGGCGAAGAACACATAGAACAAATTGGCGGGCGCCCATTCGCACGTACAAGATTCCACCGCCGCTCCGGCGCTTACATTATGCTCCGGCTCACTATTCCTCTACATTCTGATGTGAGACTCGTTGGATTTCCCTGCTACCATGATGCGAACGATTCCTTGGCAATTATCCTGCACATTCAAGCAGCCCGCCGTCGAATTCAGCGTCTAAAGAAACCAATGGGAGAGGGACCGACTGCCTTGACTGACAGAGGGCGATCTTGGAAGGGGCAGATGAATCTGCTCCAGTCTTGGATGAAGTCTTATCACAATCCCCCTTCTGTGTTTCCTCTGAAGAAGAGCCCACTTAGGGGTTCAGATCTTCCAATTTCCCGAAAAGCTTGAGAGAATTTCACTGTTGATGAAGAGGGAGGACACCAGGGTTGGTGATCAGTCCTGAAGCCGGCTGTCCTCGCTGGTCTGGGGAAAACTTTCCAAGCGGTCCAAAACTGATGGCATCAGAAACTTTCTTGAAGAGGGCACTGCCATTAGACCCTCGTTTCCAAACAACCATTGTGGAGGAAGCACTGTCTGGGACGGGATCAAGGGAAGAAGGTGATGGTGGGAAAGCTGACTGAGTCTGAACAGGCCACAGACAGACCGTGTGAAGAAGATGGGAACACAGGGCAGCAAGTCCCTCACTTCAAAGAGAGAAAGAGGAGGGAAGAAGATTGGAGAGGGAGGAGGAAGAAGGCAGGAGCAGCCACTCCCTGCAGGCAGCAAGAGGGATAAAAATGGACTCTGCTTGGAGCTTTTTGCTGCTTGAAGAAAGCTGAAGATAAATGAACGTTATCAACAAGCACCACGTCACCCAGCAGTTACCAGACTGATCAGAGAGGCTGAAGATGTTACAAGACATGCCCACCACAATGACATCTGATGACCCTGCTACCCTGGTGGTGGAACAAAATAACCACTTTCCTTTGCTCTCAGAGGTGCCTTTCATGATATGTGTGTGCAATCTTCCTCAACCCCTAGTGAGAGGGTTTTCTGCCCACTGCTGGGTACATTTGCCCAGAAAGATCACGGCATACTACCAGAAAGGCCTGATATGCAGGATCTTTCTCAACAGAACTGTTGAGTTAGCCAGGTGTTTGTGCACTGAAGGCACTTTAGTTCAACCATTTGGTCACTATTGCTTGCTCGGACTGCTTTTTATTGTTCTCGAACAGGAAGATTGGATAATGCTTATGTCGTAGGTTTCCTGCGCTACCTCAGTTGAAATAAGGCCCAGCTATTGTGTATTTTTTTGTATTTATAAAATTTCCTTAAACCTTGAAAAATAAGATATTTTTGTTATCTAAACTTTGACCTCTTTTTTTAGATTTGGAATTTGAAACGGGCAATCGATAAGAACCGGATCGATATGCCAGAATCGGAATCGTACATTTCAACGATCCGCACCCTAATGAAGGGTCAGTAAGCTTGTAAGAAATGTCTTTAATTTTGATAAAACTTCAAGGCTGATCGACTTACCTTCTTGGGTCAAAGCGTCAAATGCATAATAGGACAAAGTGACATTGGAAGTCATGGATGTAAACTGCCAAATGAACGTTTGCTGATGAATACACCACGGAGGTGAGTTATTCCAGACACCACAGCAACAGTAAACTCATTACCCCCATGAATGGACGCACTCCGTTTTGATCTTTGAGGTAAATGCAGAGAATCCTTTTAGCTAAATTTGTGTAATAGGCCTTGCTGAAAATGCAACGCAGGTCAAAGTTTTTCCATTTCTGATAATGACGTCTGTTATAAAGAAATCAAACTCAAAGGAGTTTTTACAGACCAGAGGAGACCTAGGAAACACAAAACCTTTTGAGTTGTTAATATTGATTTCTCTTTGTTATACATAATTCCCAAAAGTAAAACGCCTGAAATCCGTCCCTATCATCTTAATCTCCTATGCGCAGACCTGCCCTGCCGCTGCTCCTTGACCCTGTTTAATGCCACCTAATATTGGCATGTGTATGTTGCTAATGCTTAAGTCTATCTCTCCAAGCCAAAGGGACAGGGGTAGGTGAAAGTTAAACTGCCAGCATTCACATAGTCACTCCAGCTGTCACTTACCATCTTGGAAAAGACAAGCACTTAGAGGGAGGGCGAGAGGGGGAAGGGAAGGAGGAGGAGGCAGCGGCACTATGGGCATTTTCCACTGCAGCGCATCGCACAGTTTTAAGCGTGCCGTGCCAAACCCGGCCCGTTTTTTGGTTGCGTTTCCACTAGGGGTGTTCCGGCTAACGGGTACTGTTCACAGTTCTGGTTTTTTCTGGCACTCAAAATCCAGGTTCTTTCCGGGCCAAACAACCGGGTCTGCTGAATCATGCCAAACTAGAAAGAGAATCGCTGGCAAGGGGGCTACAACTAGAACAAAATGAACATATTTACTGTTGCTTAGTTGTAATACGAACGTTTCAAAATTATGCGCCGAGTAACAACATACTTATACCGTGTTAGTAAAACCATAATTAATGCCATTTGACAAGTCTGCAGACAGAATGCAGAGCGAAAGAAGTTTAAAATCGTGTTTTCTGAATGGGAGATCGGCTAAGCTAACGCAGTTATGCTCCGGACGTCCACACTCACAACAACGGCCTATACAGACATAAATAAACCAGCGACTTGTATTCGCCATGACACAGGACAGTCTGTGGTCATGTACTTGTTTAACTTTTGGTCTAGTTTTCTGAACAGATATGAGGAGCTGTGAGCTTGAGTGCTAAACAGCTAAGGCTGATGTTGTTTTCTGTGTTCGCATTGAAGATAGACGTGCGGTTGCCGCCTACACTGCGTTACTTCGTTAACTGCCCCGCAATAAACTGTAATGAAAAGCAGCATAAGTGAGCCTGGCCTACAAGGGCCTAATAACGGTATACCGTACTAACCGTGCGAGCCGCAAGTGGAAATGCCCATTGAGTGGGTGTCCCTTTCTGGTAGGGGACCGGGCCTTCATCAATGAGTGTGGATGTTTCCCTTGTACCAAATGTTTGAACACATAACATTGGACACTGTTTGGAGGGTGAATACAACTTCGAAAAATAATCATACAGGTATAAGAAAGAGCATAGGGAGGGGGATGGAGATAAATTGCTTATTCTTTTTGTTTAAATGGTCTGGGAGGGATACACCAAAATGGTGCAAACCTTTAAACAGAACTGGATTGAATATGAGAACTGATTGTGATCTAAGAGAAAATAAGAGAGTGCATGACATGAGTATGACTAATGCGGGGGAAATAAAAAACACGGAACCGAAACAGAGAGGAGGGCAGAGGAGCAGGAAGATTATTGTCTCCTCTGGCGTATGATTTTTGTCGTTGTCGATGACGTCAATTAAACAGCAAAACAACACACTCACCAGAGTGGTGGCAATAATTGGTGCAATCCATGGTCATTGAAAAACATGTCGCATAATCCTTTACTGTGAAAACAGACCTGTGGAAGCTGCTGGTACCTCTGGGGTTTCTCTCTTTAACTCTACCCAAACCAGCAGGTTTTCATCTATTTGAATTGCAAATTAACCTAATTTTCAAATCTCCACTAGAATTTGGCTTTAAAGGGACCTATCATGCAAAATGCACTTTTTGATGGTCTTCTTTACTAAATATGTGTCCCCGGTGTGTCAGGGAACTCACGCAGCGTTCAAAAAATAAACCCTCTCCTTTTCTCCGTACCCCAAATCTCAAAAAGGGGCTACAACGGAGATGATCCAGAGATTTGCGTCCGATATGACGTAATATCGGAAATGTAGGCTGGCTTTACACCCACGGCTATATCAGAAACGTTGCT